TTTGTTTTTATCAATAAAGATTCCAGCAGGGAAATTAAGCTGATTTAATTTTTGTCCTAGTCCAATTCCACCAGCCACAGTAACGGCATTTTGTCTCCATTTATTTAATTTTGGTTCTAGGAAATGGTGAAAACAGATTTTTATCAATCAAAGGTTTGTTGAAAACTTACTTTCTGATGAAATAATTAAAATATCATTAATAAATGATTGTGACTCTTCCTGAACAGAAATATTTGATGAACTATTTAATTTTTGTTTAATTTCTATTAATTGATCTTTCAAATAATTTAAATTAATTTCATTAAATTCATTTTCTTTTTGAATTTGTTTTATTTGTTCCGTTAAATCAATAAGTTTCATTTCAATATTAATTAAAAATATTTCTGAAGATTCATTAACAATTTTTCTACAATCTTCGGCTTTTTCTTTAATTTTTTCAATTGAATTTTTTTCCCATTCATTAATTTGTTTTATTAATATCTGATTCTGTAGATATTGTCGATTTTGTTTTGGTTTATTCAATCTGTCTTTAAATTCATCACAATCATTAATAAGACATTTTAATTCTTCATTTAATTTTTCTTGATGTTCTGTTAAATGAATTAAACAAAACTTTTTTGAACATCCATCACAAAGATATGTTATTTTTTCTTTATTGCATGTAAAACATAATGTTTTGTTATTTGCCATTGCCATGTCGTTGAATATAAATTTATAGAAGAAATCTAAAAAGAATTTTGTTGTGATAAAATCCCACAGGTAAAACGTATGTGAGAGATGAATTCGAAAGCTCCGGTTTGTCCTTCTATTTATTATCGTGCAAATAAAAAATGAAACAATAATACTCTTTTCTTCAATGCCTTTGAAAATATACCATGTGATCATCATCGAAGAAAACGTTGGATAAATACTCATTAAACACAAAGGAAAGAAAAACAAATCAATATAAATATGATATTTTTCTTCTTGAAAATAACCTTCGCAAGCCGTTTGTTTTATTTCGTCATCGTCTGTGTATTGTAGAGTGGCTTTATCTGTTTTTTTCCTATCCTTGATAAAATTTCGATGAAGAAAGAAAAAAATTGTTAATATAAGTATATAGTCGATTGTTTAGAATATAGGACGATCTCTTTAGAATAGAAAGCATTATCAGTTAGATAAGAAGGATAAGAAAAATAGAAGAATAAAATCACAGCAACAAGGTTATTTTTTATATGGATGAATAATTTCTTTTTTTCTATCAATACTAGCATTACTTGTTTATGTATATTCTTCATAGTTTTTTATTTTTGTATTGTAATCTTAGATTCTTTTTAAAGGTAGTTTACTGTGAATCAGTTGTAGTTTGTTAAGAGCTATGAAATAATTATTAATCTCTTGTAAAATGATATCAATATAATACAAATCGGATAACTTTTAATATTTATTAGAAACCAAGATTTTTATATTTTAGGAACTTAGTGTGAGAGTTTAAATGTAGGTATCATATAATATTCTTCTGTAATACATTCATGTCCACATTGAGATCTATTTTAGAGACTCGGAGAACTAGTTCATTCCATATAAAAGTTTTGTTTGTTTTTGCATATCATAATGTCATGCAGATTTCCATTATTATTTAAGAGTGTCTATCAAAATGGGATAGGTGTAGCATTGGATAAGTAACGAAATACAAAACTAACAATCACACCCACCCGAAAATAATAGACCATAACACAAATCTGCAGGTAACATTGTCATCCTATACTTTCTCAAGATCTGATTCATCGTTTGTTGATTCTCATACCACCGATTTTGTTTTGCATTTATTATCATTTAAAAGAACAAGCAAAACAATAGGTATGCATTCTTGCGCAGAGGTGGTACCTTATCCAATGAGCGTTTTGCGATGGAGAGGTTATTGCTACTTGCAAACTACTACCAATGCCCTCACATCGATCTTTATGGTCGATGTAATTTTTCGTGCTTCTTCGGAAGCATTAAATCAAAACAGTAATAGTAACATTTCTAATGTTAGGATCAGTTGAAGGTAATGTACGTTGGGTGTGGGTGTGGGTGTGGGTGAGAATCAGCTTGGATTATACTCATACCTACATCCGCACCCTCATTCTGATAATAAATATTTTGTCTTTTATGAAATTTAATGCAAAAATTAGGACAAAACGAAAATCTTTTTATTCAAAGATCAAAACAAAGAAAAACTTGAACTAAGTTTGGTGAAGAAATTGTCAAATGTTTATTTTAATTTATTTAAGAAATAAAAGAAATCTTTTTGCAAGTTTTATTAAAAGAAATCAAATAAAAATATTTCTTTTCATCAAAACTCTGAAATTAAAAAGCAAAGTTGAATTTCATATCATTTACAAAACTTTTGTTCATTTTTTCTTTCGAAATTCTTGTTTTTTGTTTTCATCTCAATGAAAATGTACATTAATTTGTTTTCGTTTTGAAAAATCATTCTGCAATTCAATTTTTATTACAAATCTTTTCAAAATTAAATAGAAAAAATTGGAAAATGCTAACATTGGTTAATTAAGATTATCAAATTAAATTCAATTTTAAAGAAAATCAATCAAAAACACTTCTTCGTTATTTTCTTACCAAACAATGTCTTTCTCTTCGAAATTTATTCGATCTTTTACTTTGAAAAAAGTTCTTTTCTTTGTTTAAAAATCAAAACTTCAATCACAAAATTATTTCAAATTTTTCAATTCTATGATTTAACCGATCAACAACATAAAGGTTTCCTTCATCATCAAAAGATAGACCACTTGGATTATTCAATTGATTTGATTGATTTCCTTTTCCATTTCCACCTACAACAATTTCACCTCTTGCATCTCCTTCACACCAACGAATTATTCGGTCATTCCCACAATCTGTCACATAGATTTGACCCAAATCATCAACAATGATTCCTTGAGGTCCAAACAATTCGTTAAGATTTGCCCCTTGACCATTTCCTCCAGCCACAACTCTTCCTTCTTTTGCATCTTTTCTCCATTTCATCACACGATGATTGTTTTGATCGGATACATAAACAGATTGATCTCTATCAACAAAGATAAAAGTAGGATAGTTGAGTTGATTGAATTGATTTCCTCTACCATTTCCACCAGCCACTACAACTCCTTCATTGTATTCTCCCATTTTCCATCTTCTCACTTCATTTTTCTTCCAATCAGAAACATATAGAAATCCAAGTTTATCCATTGTCAAGCTATGACAGTGAATATTGTCAATGAGAGTTTGTTGATTTCGATTTAGCCATTGAATCACTCGTCTATTCCCAAGATCAGCAATGATGATCGAATGAGTTTGTTGATCAAAAATAACATCTGTTGGTCCAGTCAATTGATTCATTCGATTTCCTTTGTCATTTCCACCTGCAATGATTTGTCCTTCCTTTGCATTGTATTTCCATTCAACAATACGATGATTCTCACAGTCAGCAATGGAAATATTTTTGTCTTTATCAATAAACGTTCCGTGAGGGTAAAATAGGTGATGTAATCCTTCTCCTTTTTCATTTCCACCAGCCACAGTGATGGCATTTTGTTTCCATTTGTTGAATTTTGATCCTAGAAAATGATAAAAACAAAAGATTTTCATGAAAAGAATAAGAAAAAGAAATGTTTTTGATCGAAGAATAAAGAAAAAAAATAGTAAAAGACGATTAATAAAAGAAATTTAAACAAATCGAAATAAAACAACATAAAACAGAAGAAATAAATATTAGAAGAAAGATTTCTAAAATAATCAGATAAATGTCAATGAATTAAAATCAAGTATAATTTACTCATTATTTATTCTAAAATGTTAATGTGCAATTTCATTTATGAATTTATCAATATATTTTTTTATAGATTTACTTGATTTTATTTTTATTAAAAAGTCATTTCAATAACAAAAAATATCTTTCTTCACTAATAGATATAAAGAAAATGAAACTAATTTTGTTAACTAACTAAATTAGTAATCACAAAGAAAATTATGAAAATGATCTTCTCAATAAAACATGTCTCTATAGTATTAAACTTTGAAACGATCTCTTCGATATTCATTTGAGAAAATTTGTATTCTAAATCAATAAATGTCAATGAAATTCTATTTAATTTTAAGATCATAAAATTAACTATGTCTCACTTATTGACAATTTTTATATTTGAAAAGAATATTTTAATTCCCATTGATTTATTCAATCGTTAAAATAATTCTTAAATATTTATATCAAATAAAGAAAATTTGACTCAACTATTATTATTTTTTCTAATAGAAAAAGAAAAGCAAAAGAGACTTTCTATTTGATTGTTACATATATCTTACATAAATATTCAACTACGACAATTCGTAGAATTCTTTTCAATATGCATCAATTTGTATATATTGACACTTTCTAAGAGTTGATATCAAATTGATGAAAGTTTGGGAAGTGAAAAAGTAAATTTTGATTTTTCTTAGTATCATTACCAAAACTTGGAAATGATTCCATTTTGTGTTTATCAATCAAAAATTTTTTCTACTATAATTTTATTTCATATCCTATGATTTTTTTTATTTGCATACAAATAAATTAAATTTTCTATTTCTATTAATACTACTGTTATTGTTTTATCTTCTTCGTCATTAGTTTTCTTTGTATTATAGGTTTTTAACATAAGTTTATAGAAAATGAAAACTTTTATAAATTATTTTTTAAAAGCTTACTTATTGATGAAATAATTGAAATTTCATTAATAAATGATTGTGAATCTTCTTTAAAAGAAATATTTGTCGAATTATTTAATTCTTTTGTTATTTCTATTAATTGATTTCTTAAATATTCTAAATTAATTTCATTAAATTCATTTTCTTTTTGAATTTGTTTTATTTGTTCAGTTAAATCAATAAATTTCTTTTCAATATCACTAATAAATGTTGGTGAAGATTTCATGACAATTTCTCTATATTCTTTTGCTTTTTGTTGAATTTTTTCAATTGAATTTATTTCCCATTCATTAATTTGTCTTATTAATGAGTGATTCTGTGGATTTTGTTTTTGTTCATTAATTGTTTGTTTAAACTGGTCATAATCATTAATAATATGATTGAACTCTTCATTTAATATTTGTTGATGTTCTGTTAAATGTATAAAACAGAATCTTCTTGAACATCCTTCACAAGAATAAGTTATTTTTTCTTTTTTACATGTAAAACATTGTGTTTTATTATTTGCCATTGCCATATCGTTGGATATAGATTTATAGAAGAAATCTAAAAAGAATTTTGTTGTGATGAAAACTCACTGATAAAACTGATGTGATATCTATAAGATGATTGGACAAAAAAATGAAAATTGATTTTGTTTTAATTTCAAATACAAAATCCGAGCGATTTTCGTTATATTTTTCAATAAAAATGTTTTATCGTAGATTGAGGGTACGTTTGTTAGTGAGTTCTCATTAATTCACATTAACACTGGTGAACGCTTACCAGAATTGACTTAATTTCATTGAGACTTACGCAAAACAAAGATGAATTCGAAAGCTCCGAATTAGTTGTGCTAGTGTCCATGTTAGTGAATCTTTTATACATGTAGCACTTTCTTTTCATTCTAAAAATTCTTTATATCATCACTGCAACGATTATTTACTATATGCAGGTCTAATTTATCAATATCATCATTTAACTTTCGTAGAATTTGTTCTTCTATTTCTGAATCATTTCACGCATGATGGTTAGTTGAGTTTGTCGTTGTTGATTGACTAATAATAGGTTAAAACATCAGTAATATCTTAAGAATAATAAATGAAACAATAATATTCTTTTCTTAAATGTCTTTGAAAATATATCATCGAAAATAAACGTTTGATAAATACTCACTAAACATACCTAAATACGAATGAAAGAAAAAAACAAATATAAATATGATATTTTTTCTCTTCTTATTTTTTTCCGCTTGAAAATTACTTACACAAGCCATTTTTTTTAATTTTGCCATCATTTGTGTAATATAAAGTGACGTTATATGATGATTGGATATATTTGTTTTCGTCCTATTCTCGACAAAATTGCGACGAAGATAAGCAAAGACATAGAAAGAATGTACAGACATTGAATCATTATTTTTTTTATCGTTTTGAAATAAACGTTCGTAATAAGAGAAAGAAAACAAGTAGTTAAGTTGTAAAATTTCAAATGAGAATGAATAGACAGAAAAAATCAATACATGATTAAGTCATGTGACAAAACAGAAATAGAACTAAATTGTCAATATAGGCATATAGTGGAGTGTGTAGAATATATAATGATCTCTTTATAATAGAAAGCATTACCAGTTAAATGAGAAGTATAAAAAAAAGTGAAACAGAGAAGAGTTGAATCACGTCAACAACGTTATTTTTTTTATGAGGATGAATAATTTCTTCTCGTCTATTAGTACTAGCATTACTTGTTTATACATTTTTATTTTTCTTCATAATCTTTTTTTCATTCTGATCTTAGATTCTTTTTAAAGACAGTTTGGTGTTGAAGGATTCGATTGCAAAATAATTATACGAAAGAAAGAAATCGTCGAAATTCCAAACAGATATAAATCAATCATCCCCTATCAAATGATGAAGTCGTTTTTTCGCTAGAAATTTTGTTTTTTGATTCATCTGATAATGTGAACCAGTTGTAGTTCGTTGAGAGCTACGGAATAGTTTATTCGGATTTTCAATGATATTTAACCGATTCCAATGAAAGTAAAAGTTGGAGCTACTTCTGAAGTATATAGTTCATTCTAAACATCTCGAAAAACTCTATCAAACGGTATATATTCAATTGAATGAAACATATTTGTGCTACGAAGGTCCTTCGAAACCTCATGAAGAGTTTCCAGTCTGTATATCTTATGGACTATTTGACTGTTTGATTAGAATTAGCCCACTCAATAAAAGTCTATGATTTATATCAAATTGGACATGCACAGTTTTTACGACAGTTGAGGGTGTGGGTGAGGGTGTGTGTGGATCATCTCTTTCCCTTATCCACACTCACACCGTATATCTCACATCGAGCTACACTTACATTCACCCCATTCACACCCACACCCACAAGATGGTCACTAATTAATAATTGAAGAAGGAACGAACGTAGTTAATTAATTCTGCGAATTTTCTGTTCGATTATTTTCATTGATTTTCAATAATATAACTTTATTTTTTCTTTTATTTTTATTTTTCGATTTTTTACTTAACAAAAATTTTTTTTCTTTTTTTCAAAGTCAAAACTTCATTCAACAAGTTATTTCATATTTCTCAATTCGGTGTTTAAAACAATCAACAACATAAAGATTTCTTTCATCATCAATAGATAAACCTATCGGATAATTCAATTGATTTGAGTGACTTCCTTTACCATGTCCACCAACAACAACTTCACCTTCTTCTTTTCCTTCACACCAACGCATTACTCGATGATTCCAACAATCGACCACATATATGTCACCCAAATAATCAACAATGATTCCTTTAGGTGAACACAGTTGATTGAGATTTTCTCCAAAACCATTTCCTCCAGCCACAATTGTTC